CTTAACCAGGAAGAAACAGAAAATCCAAACAGACACACCACAAGCACAGAAATTGAAACTGTAATATAAAATCTTCTGACAAACAAAATCCCAGGACCAGATTGCATCACAGGTGAATTCTACCAAAAATTTAGAGATGAGCTAACACCTATCCTACTCAAACTATTCCAGAAAATTGGAGTGTAAGGTAAATCCCCAAACTCATTCTATGAGGCCATGTCCCCCTCATACCAAAACCAGACAAAGATGTTACCAAAAAAGAAAACTGCAGCCCAATATCACTGATGAACATAGATGCAAAAATCCTCAACAAAATTCCAGCAAACAGAATTCAACAACATATTAAAAAGATCATGCACCATAACCAAGTGAGTTATTCCAGGGATGCAAGGATTCTTCAATATTCACAAATAAATCAATGTAATACACCACGTTAACAAACTGAAAGATAAATACCATATGATTATCTCAATAGATGCAGAGAAAGCCTTTAACAAAATTCAACAGCCATTTATGATAAAAACTCTCCAGAAAGCAGGCATAGAAGGAACATACCTTAACACAATAAAAACCATCTACGACAAACACACAGACATCATTATCCTCAATGGCGAAAAATTGAAAGCATTTCCTCTAAAGTCAGTAACAAGACAAGGGTGCCCACTCTTGCCAGTACTATTCAACATAGTTTTGGAAGTTTTACCACAGCAGTCAGAGAAGAAAAATAAGTAAAAAGGATCCAGATTAGAAAAGAAGAAGTAAAACTCTCACTGTTTGCAGATGACATGATCCTCTACATAGAAAACCCTAAAGACACCACCAGAAAATTACTAGCACTAGTCAAAGAATAAAGTAAAGCTTCAGGATATAAAACTAACACACATAATCCCCTTGCAGTCCTACACACTAACAACGAGAAAATAGGAAAATTAAGGGAACTATCACATTAACCATTGCAACAAAAATAATAAAATGCTTAGGAATAAATTTACCTAAGGAAGCAAAAGATACATATAGCAAACTATGAAACACTGATGAAATAAATCAAAGATGACACAAAGAGATGGAGAAATATACTGTGCTCATGGATTGGAAGAATCAATATAGTGAAAATGAGTATACTGTCCAAGGCAATCTATAGATTCAGTTGAAACTCTATCAAGCTGCCAATGGTGTTTTTCACAGAACTAGAACAAATAATTTCACAATTCACATGGAAACACAAAAAGTCTCTAATAGCCAAAGCAATCTTAAGAAAGAAGAATGGAACTGGAGGAATCAACCTGCCTGACTTCAGACTATACTACAAAGCTACAGTCATCAAGACATTATGGTACTGGCAGAAAGACAGAAACATAGATCAATGGAACAAAATAGAAAGCCCAGAGATAAATCCACATACCTATGGACACCTTATCTTTGACAAAGGAGGTGACAATATACAATGGAGAAAAGATCATCTCTTTAACAAGTGTTTCTGGGAAAACTGGTCAACCACTTGTAAAAGACTGCAACTAGAACACTTTCTAACACCATACACAAAATAAACTCAAAATGGATTAAAGATCTAAATGCAAGACCAGAAACTATAAAACTCCTAGAGGAAACATAGGTAGAACACTCTCTGACATAAATCACAGCAGGATCCTCTATGACCCACCTCCCAGAATAATGGAAATAAAAACAAAAATAAACAAATGGGACCTAATTAAATTTAAAAGCTTTTGCACAATGAAGGAAACTATAAGCAAGGTAAAAAGTCATCCTTCAGAATGGGAGAAAATAATAGCAAAGGAAACAACTGACAAATAATTAATTTCCCAAATATACAAGCAGCTCATGCAGCTCAATACCAAGAAAATAATGACCCAATCAAAAAGTGGGTCAAAGAACTAAACAGGCATTTCTCCAAAGAAGACATACAGATGGTTAATAAACATATGAAAAGATGCTCAACATCACTCATTATCAGAGAGATGCAAATCAAAACCACAATGAGGTACCATCTCACGCCAGTCAGAATGGCTGCCATCAAAAAGTCTACAAACAATAAATGCTGGAGAGGGTGTGGATAAAAGGGAACCCTCTTACATCGTTGGTAGGAATGCAAACTAGTATAGCTACTATGGAGAACAGTGTGGAGGTTCCTTAAAAAACTGGAAATAGAACTGCCATATGACCCAGCAATCGCACTGCTGGGCACAGACACTGAGGAAACCAGAATTGAAAGAGACACATGTAATCCAATGTTCATTGCAGCACTGTTTACAATAGCTAGGACATGGAAGCAACCTAGATGTTCATTGGCAGATGAATGGATAAGAAAACTGTTACATATACACAATGGAGTATTACTCAGCTATTAAAAAGAACACATTTGAATCAGTTCTAATGAGGTAGATGAAACTGGAGCCTAATATACAGAGTGAAGTAAGTCAGAATGAAAAACACTAATACAGTATATTAACATAAATACATGGAATTTAGAAAGATGGTAACAACAACTGTATATGCAAAACAACAAATAGATTCAGATATAAAAAGCAGACTTTTGGACTCTGTGGGAGAAAGCGAGGGTGGGATGATATGAGAGAATAGCATTGAAACATGCATATTATCATATGTGATATAGATGACCTGTCCAAGTTCAATGCATGAAAACAGGGCACTCAAAGCCAGTGCACTGGGACAACCCAGAGGGATGGGATGGGGAGGGAGGTGGGAGGGGGGTTTGGGACGGGTTGACACATGTACACCCATGGCTAATTCATGTCAATGTATGGCAAAAACCACCACAATATTGTAAAGTAATTAGCCTCCAATTAAAATAAATAAATTAATTAAAAATATTGATGGAAGGATCAAACCAGAGGAGAGGTTCCTGGGAACCCCTGATTAATAACCAGTCATTCAGAAGTACAGGTGACAACCTGGAGTTGGTATCGGCATGTGGTGTGAGGTTTGTTCTGTGAGACTAAGCCTCTAACCCTGTGGGATTTGACATTATCCTAGGTCAAGAGTTCAGGATGGAGTTAGACTGTAGGACACTCAGCTGATGTCCAAGGAAAATGAGAGAACTGCTTGGTGGTGGCAAATAACATTCCAGACCCTCATTTTTTTTTTTCTAAATTAAGGTAAGTATCCAACAAGGTGATATTTATCTGCATAAAATGTGAACTTTCAAGGAAAAATTTATTCCCCTCATTCCCAAGGAATAATCAACCACCCTAAAGTAGTGACAATTTTCAAAGCAGAACTTCTAAAAGTGTGGTTATAACACTTGAAGAAGTAGGACTCATAACTAGTACAATTTGTCATCAAGAATTTATTGGAGGATTGGGCCCAATCAAACAAAAGAAAAGTATTGGAAGAAAAATGATAATTAAGTGTTTAAGTATTTGGTAGAAGACATCATAGTCCCTATTTCCTTTTTTAAATAACGAGGTGTTCATTAGCAACGAAAACGCACCAAGTTACCAGATACTCTGGAAGAATCAATTCATGGGCTGAACATTTGCAAAATCAATACTACTGCAATGCAAAGAAAATTGCCTTTTACAGAGTAGATAATTAGCATTATAAGATGCTTAGAATTAATTTAATATTTACTTCATCTTTATACCAGTTCCCTAAACAATGCAGACAAATGATCCTTCTCATTACACATATAATGCCCAGAGGAATAGTGTCTTAAACAAGATCACTGGATAATCAAACCTAGACTATAGGTCTTCTCTTCCTGCATTCTGACTTTTTATGTGTTTCACTATCCCTAATGAATTATAATATTCAAATTCTCTGAAAGAACTGGGGATGGAGAAAGTTCCATTTTTAAAGGAAAGGGAAAGTGAAAGTTGCTCAGTCATGTCCAACTCTCTGCAACCCCATGGACTACACAGTCCACAGAATTCTCCAGGCCAGAATACTGGAGTGGGTAGCCTTTCCCTTCTCCAGGGGATCTTCTCAACCCAGGGATCGAACCCAGGTCTCCTGCATTTCAGGTGGATTCTTTACCAGCTGAGCCACAAGGGAAGCCCAAGAACACTGGAGTGGGTAGCCTATCCCTTCTCCAGTGCATCTTCTTGACCCAGGAATTGAACCAGTGTCTCCTGCATGGCAAGTGGGTTCTTTACCAACTGAGCTACCAGGGAAACCCTTCTTTAAAGGAAGCAAATGTGATTGTGATTTTGAAGTCACAAAATAAATTCTGTCTTAATTTGGGAAGCTTTCTGATAGGCAAACCAATCATACTTCTGACTTACATTGAGACACTTTAGCTTATTTATGTTTTTTTTCCAAATCGTTTTTCCTTTCAATAAAACTTGAAAGTGATACCTTTCTTTTTTTGAAAGTGATACCTTTAAAAGTTTTTTAAGTGATCTAATTATATACAAATCAACTGAATCAATAGATTTTCTTCTGCTATTGTATATTTTCTATTATTACACATGGGGCAAAGATATGAAACATACATTATAAGAAACATGTGCATTTCAATGTCTCTATATTTTACAGAAAAGAGTAAACACTAGATAATTTTATGCATTCTTTTATGCCAAAGAATTCAGAGGGAAATATAGTAATGCCTGCAATTTGCCTAGAAGGTATCAGAAATATTGATTATTCAATACATTAATGAATGAATAGAGAGAGACAAGACAAGTGACAAAGGGTGTGTAGGAAACATTAATGGTGCAACCTTGGTGATAGGTATTAGTTTTAAAGTATTTCAACTTTGCCATATGCTTGAAAATGTTACTCACAAACTGTTGGGAAATAGCAAGAAGTCTTATCTGATGTAGTTTTGATTTTGTACAGCTAGCTAAAAGAGAAGGGTAATTAAGTATTTCTACTTTTGGGTAATTTAAATTGCAAGACAATCATAACACAGAGACAAATTCAGATGCATACAAAGAAATTCAGATACGTACAAGTTCCCACCAATAAAGTAATACAATCCTCCATACAGAACAAGCATATTTGTAGTAGGAGCTTCATACCTTCACATGTCGGCAGGGCACCCTCAAACTGTAGCTGGGAGCTGAGCTTACAGGTCAGTGTATCCATCCCAGACAGCGTGTACCCGGGGTGGCACTGGTACTTCACGAAGTCTCCTGAAAGAGTCCACATGCATACTTGGCAATCCTGTCTCCATGACACATGCAGTGTGTGAACGTTATTAAACACATGTGACACTCGAGTTGCTATGAAAACCACTTCTGAACCATGACTGGTATTCATGCTTAGTCTACTTAATGAAATAGTGTCATTTTTATTTCTTAATTTATAAAAATGCTCTCTTTAAATGTAACCAGTATTTCTATAGAGGTTAGGGAGCAGTTTTTTCTTCTTTGACTGATATGTCTATGTTCACTCCCTTTCCCCTATGATTACTAATAAAAAAGAAAGAAAGATCAAAGAAGGAAAGAAAAGGGATTCAGAGGCTTGGGACTGAAGGCTATATAAGAGAATGTCTTTAATGCATCCAGAGAGGGTTACAAAATGACCTTGGTCTAAGTAGCACAATGTTCTCATCAGCTAAGCCATCAGGAATAGGGCAGAAACTGGTCACATGGTTTGACCACCACTATAAAACAGGGTGTGAGACAGGACTGGGTATTTGTAATTGAGACCAAGAAATCCTTTGTCACAATAACTGGCCAGCCAACGTACGCCACAGTAGGTTTCTTAGTGTGGCCTGATGATTTAATGAAGTAGGCCACCAATTTAAAATGAAAAAACAGAATTTCTAAATAGTATCATTCAATATATTTACCAATTACTTTCCAGTTTCAAGGAAAGGCCAATGTTAGACTAACCATTATTTCAGCCACAAATGACTTTCTTCTTCTGGTGCACCAAAATGGTTCCCTAACTAAACATAAACATCTGCTTAAGTCTGTGTCTGAAAACTGCTTTTAGGAGAAAAAATACAAACTGGTGAGTCATGCAGCAGGAAAATGTGCTCAAAGTGGCAAAAGCAAAATTTAAATGGAAAAAAAAATCATGGAGATGAAGAAAAAAACATATTTATTCAATTCATGACCAATATGTATCTCTCTAGGAAAGCTTTAGGAATATTTCTAACAAACATTCATCAACTTGGCTATCTACTGCAGTTGCATGGGTGTAAAAAAACCTGTGTTGAGCTGATGATGTTGTAACAATGAAAACATTACCTATTTCAAAATCCTCATCCTCTGTAAGCATTTCTGCCTGTGGAACTGCTGGGGGAAGTTGACATTTCTTGAGCTGAAATGCTACATGGTTTATATAAAAAAAATAGTAAGTGAAATTACATTTGATGAATAAACAAAAATCTTACAAAAAATATATCTCTTGTGTTGTTACAATGCTTAGGTCTAGGAACATATCTATATTTGTAAATTATAGTTTTACTAAAGTCTCGAGCTTCAAATGCTTACAAAATTGAACGGGAAAAGTATACCATTTAAAAAAAATTATGATGTTTAAATACAAACACTTTACATATATTTGGAATTCTGCAGAAGAAATGGTTCTTGCTGGTTCCACGTCCATATTGGGATCTGACATCATCTTCCTCGGTCTCTTTTCCTGAGGATGTGCATGTGGCAGTCCTCAAGAGAGATAAGGGACCGGTAATGCTTCTCCCCAAACTATTTAGCATTCATTCCCAACATCAGTAGAGATTCACTTTGTCCCATCTACAATTACATGACATTCACTATCGAGGTTCATCTGGAGACAGAGACGAGGAAATCTCTGAAAGCTACTAAATGTATTTCCATGGCCTCCATATCAGAGTTTCACATACAATACGCTTATCTTGGGGGCAAATCCAAGATAAACTATAAAAGAGATGTGAAGTCCTAAATACGTCAGTAAGAAAAAGGAATCACAGGAACCTCAGCATGAAATGTGAGAAAATCCTGTAGGCTTTCGTTTGACAGAAACATGGAACTTTAGCTGTAAACAAAGTTTATGTCAACCCTATGAGAAAAGTCAGCTAGGATTCTCTGCCACCATCAATGGAGTGAAAATACACTGACCGTGAAAATTGAGGACGAAGAAACCGCCATTTGAAAAGTCGCTGTGAAATTTGAGCAGGACTTGGTTGGTGGAGCTGTATGCTGTCTCCAGGGCTGTGTTCCCACTGAAAACTCCCAACTGTGGAGAATTCTGATCAGGACCATCCCTGGGAAAGAGAGGAGGAGCCCTCTAAATGAAAAGCTTCCAGTTACAGCTTAAATTCACAACCGTTTTCTTCTGACTGCTGGGATCTGTCTGTCTGAACCCAGGATAGAGCTGAAAAGCCTGGTCTTCAACTTAGGGCTCCCTTGTTCCTCCCGCACCTGACCTTCTCAAAGGTGTTTTTGAGACAAGGTAACATTTATTCTAGTGATGTCACTACCACTTATCAGCTTCCTTTCAAATGTTCCCATTTTAAAAGTCTAAATTCAGGGTGTCTCTTTAATTGTGGGTGAGATTTATGGAGCTCTTGTGGCTGAATTGAAATATTAAAAAAAAAACTGAATAAAATATTACCATCTTCTAGATTCCATGTTTAGAAATACTAAGATGTTTAATGTTCTTAGGTGACTGCACTCCAGTCTGTCTCATGAGTGTTTGGAGGACAGGGGCTCCCTCCGCTGCTGGAGGGAGACCTTGCTCCTACTGCTAAATCTACTGATTAATCTGGGTAAACCTGCTGATACTATAGTGTGGCTTTTCATTTCAGTGTCGTTTGTCTGTCTTGCTTTGCTTCATAGGTCAACTTAACATTTCAGGTTCTCCATTTCTGCTCGTTCCCACAACACAGGTCCTGTCCCCTGATCTCCCCTCCTTACCATTCCCAGAGTTATTTCTATAGCCTCACAGGCCAGTCTCCCATCTTATCCAGCTGATCTGCCCCCTACACAATAATAATGGGTATTCTGCAACCAGGACCTGGTCCTGTAATTCTCCCTCTTATGACTCTAAAGTGAATCCATGTTGCTTTAGGATGAAGCCCAAAATCCTTAACATGATTTATGAGGTCCTGTATGGTCTGCCCAGCTTACCTGGCCAGGTCAACTCTTCTCTCTCCTGTGCTCTCCCAAGACATCAGCTACATCACACCTGGGGCCTCACAGTGCCTGCAACTCACCTAATCTCTTGCCTCAGAGAATTTCCAATGGCTAAGATAACCCCTACATTTACAACAACTTCACCAACACACACAGACACACACACACAGACACACACACTGCCTTGTTAACTCTGATTATGCTTGAGTTTTCAGGGCACTTTATTCCTAAAGCACTTTATTCCAACTTATTCCAAATCTGGGCTCTGCCCCAATGGTAAGCTCTACTCTTCCCATCATATTTTGTCATTCCCATTTCCCCATAAAGTCTCACCTCCAAAGGCAATGGTAGAAATAGTTATTTCAATAGACATGAACATTCAGTGAAGGAGAGTTTAGGTTAACTTACCCAGGAGGGATTGGGGCAGGAGGAGAAGGGGACGAAAGAGGATAAGATGGCTGGATGGCATCGCTGACTCGATGGACATGAGTCTGAGTAAACTCCGGGAGTTGGTGATGGACAGGGAGGCCTGGTGTGCTGTGATTCATGGGGTCGCAAAGAGTCAGACATGACTTGAGCGACTGAACTGAACTGAACTGAACCCAGGCTACATGGCTCATTAGATGGGGAGCTAGGGCTACATCCCCCACGGCATCCCCTACACAGCCCATGGTGAGGAAGGGGGAGTAGGGAGGGGGCAGTTCTGCACGGTTTATAAAGTACAGAGAGAAAGCTGTGTGTAATCATTTCTTCAGTATTTCCAGAAGCATCAAATTAGTATATGACAAAGGATCCAATCAGCTTTTCTTTAAGAAAAAAAAGATTTATGCTTGAAAATGAAAAAGAAAAGAAGAAATTCCCAAGTGGTCCAGGGGCTAGGACTCAACTCTTTCACTGACAAGGGCCCAGGTTCAATCCCTGGTCAGGGAACTAAGATCCCAAAAGCTATGTGATATGGCCAAAAAGATAAATAAAAATTAAAACAAGAAATAAACATGAAAAATAAAATACTTTGGGGATATTCTCCTCTATCTAGAGTAATCTTGAATATATCTACCACGTAGCATGGTACATGAGCATGAGGTTTATTCTATCTCTAGATTTAGTTGGTAAATTTCTGTTTTGACATCTACCTAACTATTCCATCTCTAAATAGGCAGAAGTGACATATAAGTGGTTAAAAGAACAGTTTATCACAAGGACAGATGGGTGTTTTCAGGAAAGGTTCTCATACCAAACCGCGATGTAGTCATTGACAGCTTCCGTCTGCAGCAAGGTGAAGTTGATGTAGACGCCATGGCCAGGTGGCGCTGAGATGAGCCAGATGCAGTCCTTCAGGATGGGGTACTCGTCCGGAAATCCGGGAGAATAGATGGTCCCGTTCTGAGATGTCACATTATACCCACAAGGAGCTGAGAAGAAAGCCAAGAAAAATCAAGCCCAACACAGTCCACTTTAAAAAGATACAGTGAGATGTTTATCAGCCTCTAAAGTCCCTTAGCCGAGGTTTTCCTTCTAAGAAATAATTGTGAAAAATCCCGCAGCAACTACTTTGTCAAAATAATTCCTCTCAAGTCTTAAAACCTTGGAAGAATTTTACTCCTAAGCTACCTTATCTAAGTTTTTTAACATATTCTCCAAACATTCAAAATCCCTTCAGGATAGAGTCGTTTCCACATAATTAAAAGGAGAAAGAAAGAAAGAAAAAAATAAAAAATAAAAACCTTAGTCAGTAGTCTCCTGAGACTGAGCTGATAATCCATTGGACTATCTGATGCAAGGGATTATGTTGCAATTATGTGTGAATATTTAACTGAAAAATAATTTTTTTTGTTTTAAGTGAGATTTCTAAAGTTTATTTAAAATGCCTAAAAGAGAAGTATCTAAGTCTATCTGCCTTGAAACAAAGATCTTATAAATTCTCCTGAGATCTATACCTAGCGAAAGGAGATAAAATTATGTAAGTGAAATTTTATAGAAACACTTCCACATCTCATCCACTACCAATGATGTAAAAATCTCAACAATACACTGAGTCCATTTTTATTTTACTTAATAAAGTGATCATCACTTTTGCCATAGAAATTATTTTGTTTTATTTCTGGAAAAATGAAATGATCATACATGAGCAGATAATCCAAAATATATTCTTTAATTCACATCATGGTATAAATACATCAAAGTCATAGGCAAGTAGACATTTTAATCAAATTAAAAGCCAGTAGATGCAGAGGATCATATCATCTGCAAACAGAGAGAGTTTCACTTCTTCTTTTCCTATCTAGATTCCTTTTACTTCCTTTTCTGCCCTGATTGCTGTGGCCAAAACTTCCAAAACTATGTTGAATAGTAGTGGTGAGAGTGGGCACCCTTGTCTTGTTCCTGATTTCAGGGGAAATGCTTTCAATTTTTCACCATTGAGGGTGATGCTTGCTGTGGGTTTGTCATATATAGCTTTTATTATGTTGAGGTATGTTCCTTCTATTCCTGCTTTCTGGAGAGTTTTAATCATAAATGGATGTTGAATTTTTTCAAAGGCTTTTTCTGCATCTATTGAGATAATCATATGGTTTTTATCTTTCAATTTGTTAATGTGGTGTATTACATTGATTGATTTGCAGATATTAAAGAATCCTTGCATTGCTGGGATAAAGCCCACTTGGTCATGATGTATGATTTTTTTAATATGTTGTTGGATTCTGTTTGCTAGAATTTTGTTAAGGATTTTTGCATCTATGTTCATCAGTGATATTGGCCTGTAGTTTTCTTTTTTTGTGGCATCTTTGTCTGGTTTTGGAATTAGGGTGATGGTGGCCTACCAGAAAATTACTAGAGCTAATCAACGAATACAGTAAAGTTGCAGGATATAAAATTAACACACAGAAATCTCTTGCATTCCTATACACTAAGAATGAGAAAATAGAAAGAGAAATTAAGGAAACAATACCATTCAACATTGCAACAAAAAGAATAAAATACTTAGGAGTATATCTACCTAAAGAAACAAAAGACCTATACATAGAAAACTATAAAACACTGATGAAAGAAATCAAAGAGGACACAAACAGATGGAGAAATATACCGTGTTCATGGATTGGAAGAATCAATATTGTCAAAATGGCTATACTACCCAAAGCAATCTATAGATTCAATAAAATCCCTATCAAACTACCAACGGTATTTTTCACAGAACTAGAACGAATAATTTCACAATTTGTATGGAAATACAAAAAACCTCGAATAGCCTGAGAAAGAAGAATGGAACTGGAGGAATCAATCTGCCTGACTTCAGACTATACTACAAAGCCACAGTCATCAAGACAGTATGGTACTGGCACAAAGACAGAAATATAGATCAATGGAACAGAATAGAAAGCCCAGAGATAAATCCACGAACCTATGGTCACCTTATCTTTGACAAAGGAGGCAAGGATATACAATGGAAAAAAGACAACCTCTTTAACAAGTGGTGCTGGGGAAACTGGTCAACCACTTGTAAAAGAATGAAACTAGAACACTTTCTAACACCATACACAAAAATAAACTCAAAATGGATTAAAGATCTAAATGTAAGACCAGAAACTATAAAACTCCTAGAGGAGAACATAGGCAAAACACTCTCCAACATAAATCACAGCAGGATCCTCTATGACCCACATCCCATAATTTTAGAAATAAAAGCAAAAATAAACAAATGGGACCTAATGAAACTTAAAAGCTTTTGCACAACAAAGGAAACTATAAGCAAGGTGAAAAGACAGCCCTCAGATTGGGAGAAAATAATAGCAAACGAAGCAACAGACAAAGGATTAATCTCAAAAATATACAAGCAACTCCTCCAGCTCAACTCCAGAAAAATAAATGACCCAATCAAAAAATGGGCCAAAGAACTAAACAGACATTTCTCCAAGGAAGACATACAGATGGCTAACAAACACATGAAAAGATGCTCAACATCACTCATTATCAGAGAAATGCAAATCAAAACCACAATAAGGTACCATTATACGCCTGTCAGGATGGCTGCTATCCAAAAGTCTACAAGCAATAAATGCTGGAGAGGGTGTGGAGAAAAGGGAACGCTCTTACACTGTTGGTGGGAATGCAAATTAGTACAGCCACTATGGAAAACAGTGTGGAGATTTCTTAAAAAGCTGGAAATAGAACTGCCATATGACCCAGCAATCCCACTTCTGGGCATACACACTGAGGAAACCAGATCTGAAAGAGACACGTGCACACCAATGTTCATCGCAGCACTGTTTATAATAGCCAGGACATGGAAGCAACCTAGATGCCCATCAGCAGACGAATGGATGAGGAAGCTGTGGTACATATACACCATGGAATATTACTCAGCCATTAAAAAGAATTCATTTGAATCAGTTCTAATGAGATGGATGAAACTGGATCCCATTATACAGAGTGAAGTAAGCCAGAAAGATAAAGACCATTACAGTATACTAACATATATATATGGAATTTAGAAAGATGGTAACGATAACCCTATATGCAAAACAGAAAAAGAGACTCAGATGTATAGAACAGACTTGTGGACTCTGGGAGAAGGCGAGGGTGGGATCTTTCAAGAGAACAGCATCGAAACATGTATGTTATCTAGGGTGAAACAGATCACCAGCCCAGGTTGGGTGCATGAGACAAGTGCTGGGGCCTGGTGCACTGGGAAGACCCAGAGGGATCGGGTGAAGAGGGAGGTGGGAGGGGGGACCGGGATGGGGAATACATGTAAATCCATGGCTAATTCATTTCAATGTATGACAAAAACCACTGCAATGATGTAAAGTAATTAGCCTCCAACTAATAAAAATGAATGGAAAAAAAAAAAAGCCAGTAGATGCTATAAGAGTGTCTGTTACTAACATGAATCTTTTCAGGCTTTCAAATATTTGCCATAGGGGATCAGGATGGGGAATACATGTAAATCCATGGCTGATTCATGTCAATGTATGACAAAAACCACTACAATTGTAAAGTAATTAGCCTCCAACTAATAAAAATAAATGGAAAAAAAGGTATAAAATTTAGGTGGAATGAATAAGCCAGTGTACATTTTTAAATGTAAATTTAAAATGATGACTGGTGAAATATCATGAAGCCAAAGTAACCATATAGATGCACACTGATTTCAAAGTAGACAGAAAATGTACCAGTGTCAAGTAGAATGACTTGGTCTGAATTTTGGGTACATTTATTTAAAGGCACTGTGGAGAATATTTTACAAGTTTTATAGCATAATTGTAAGCAGGTTTTGGAGTCAGATACACCTTGACTTGTAAGCTAGCAAACTATAACATACAGATGTCTCTAATCTGTAAAAATAGGGCCAGAAGCCATGCTGGAGTCACAGGTGACTACGTGGTGACCCCTAAGAGGCCATACTTCTTCCTAGCTGCAAACGTCATGTCCTCATTCACCTGCATGAACAGCTCTTGTGCTTTTCTCCTGTGTTGCTGGCAGGTGACCTGGTCCCTTCCTCAAAACTCAACTCAAATGTCATGACTTCCTGACAGCCTTTCCTGGCGCTGTGGTCTGGATACTTGTCCCTGGACTACAGTTCTTCACCATCTGACTGTTAGCAACTAGCAGTCAGGGACCATATCCATAGCCCCATCAAACCTCCTCTCATCAATCCCATTGCCTGGCTCAGATCTCAATAAACAACAGACACCAAGTAATTGAGGGATTGGAAATGAGTGAGACAATGAAGAGAAAACACTTAACGCATGTGCTGAATCCACTGGCTGACATAGCTCATGTGTGATTTGAAGTTATTCATTATGTATTGATTTATAACTCTAAATTTTCCTTCAGCATTTTGACTTTTTAATTTGCATCTTATTAAAGTATAGCCACTTTACATGGAGTAGTACCCTTCCCATGGGGAGGGGGGAAAGCAGAACAAACATAAAACATGGTGTCCACCTCTTAAAAGGCAAAATAAATGATATGGTTATTTTCTTCATAAAACATTCTGATATTTTTTAGGTCACTCAATATATTTGCCATGATATATCTATGATATTCAAATAACAAATCCTTTCACTCCTATGTTCAATGAGTGTTTACAGAGAGTCTATTATGTATGAGGCAGCTCGGCTGAACTGGGGCTAGAGCAGAGAATCATGCTGACCCCATCCCTGCCTTGCAGAGCTTGCTATATTCAGCAGAGTGATGAAGGAAGATGTTAAAAAGCTAAATATGAAGTTTGACTTGTGTGATAATACTCTCAATGCACTTAAAACATTTTCTCAAGGCAAAACCCTATATTCTACAGAGGAAGATGGAGGACCCTAAAAAGACATAATGAGTAAAGCTACCCCTCCCTTTCCCCGGGTCCAGCACCTTCTCCCAGAGGCTTTCCCCTCAACTTCGTGGCAACAAAGCTATATTTTGACTTCCACATCCCAGTGGCGTCTCAGGGATCTCTGCAGCAACAGGGACCTGCAATCCAGTTCAGCAGGAAATGCACCCACCTCCATCCTCTCCCTGAGGCTGAGGGTCAAAGAGGCCCCTCCAGTGGAAAACAGCCAGCAAGCCCAGCAAGGGGGAGCATCAGAAGGGTCCCTGCACCACCTGCAACCATGAGTACTTCCCAGCTTCTCATCTGTCTGCCCAGGAGCCTAGCCCAGCAGGAGGGGCAGGCAACCAGGCAGCCAGGAGAGAGACCATAGAATATGAGAGCATTACACACTGCACTTCATAACTGGGGGCCACACAGATGGCATCCCTCCTCCACACCAGGACCAGAGAGCCAACAAAGGCAATCCCTTCACATACATGAATAAACACTGCAGTAGTGGCATTTATCATGTTAGGTAGTTAGAACAGGAAAAAGGAGTCCAGAATGGTGGTGGCTAAAAGACAAGGAAGAGAAAAGCCCACAAAAATAGAACAAAGGAAGGTCCGAGGAATGGAGTGAGGACCTCAGGTAGAACAAACAGCACTTCTGGCTAGCTTAATTTACATAGGGCAGGCCCAGGGGGAGGAGGAAAAAAGCATATAAAACAAGGAGCCAAAGGGCTGGGGGTCTCTCTCTCTTCTCTACATCTTTTGGGTCATCAAGCCCTCATGCCTCAAGGATATATTTTCCTTTATTTTCTAAATAAAACTGAGCTGTAACATGGAGCTGTAACACTGGTCCATCCAAGAACTGCAAGAGCTGTGACAGTGGTCTGTCCAAGAGCTGCAATGCTGGCCCATTCGAGGGCTGTAATGTTGGTCTGTCGCTTCAAATTTTTGTTGTGAGAAGACAGAACCAAGGAAATTACACACTCCCCCAACAATAATAAGAAATACACTTTTGATCTTCCTCGCTGTTCTTGGCACAGAACTCATAAAACCCTTAGAATTTACAAAGTGATTATAAAAAGATCAAATTGTCTTTTGTTATTCAAAACAAGACCCTTTCAACCACACCTGAGTTTACTTTAATGAAGAAATTAGGAAATCTGAAGCCTTGGGGCTAGTTGCAAGGGGAACCAGCCTCAGATCAGAGGTTCAGCCCCACCCCCACCTCAGGAAGAGGAAGAGGGAAAGAAAGTCCACTTAATCACCAATCTGAGGGACTTTGGTTTTAAAAGAATATTCCCTTGTTACTTTTATTTTTTAGAATTTAATCTAATATTGTTGTTGTTGTTCAGTTGCCCAAAATTGTCCAACTCTTTGCCACCCCATGGACTGCAGCACACCAGGTTTCCCTGTCCTTCACCAACTCCCAGAACTTGCTCAAACTCATGTCTATTGAGTTGGTGACGCATCCAATCATCTCATCTTCTGTCGCCCCCTTCTCCACCTGTCTTCAATCTTTTCCAGCATCATGGTCTTTTCCAGTGAGTCAGTTCTTGGCATTTGGTGGCCAAAGAATTGGAGCTTCAGCTTCAACATTGGTCCTTCCAATGAATATTCAGGGTTGATTTCCTTTAGGACTGACTGGTTCGATCTCCTTGTTGTCCAAGCGACTCTCAAGTCTTCTCCAGCACCACAATTTGAAAGCATCAGTTCCTCAGCACTCAGCCTTCTTTATGGTCCAACTCTCACATCCATTCATGACTACTGGAAAACCCATAACTTTGACTAGATGAATCTTTGTGGGCAAAGTGATGTCTCTGCTTTTTAATATGCTGCATAGGTTTGTCATAGCTTTTCTTCCAAGGAGCAAGCATCTGTCTTCCTTGGGTGACTTTTGTCTTTTCTGTTATAAACCACAATCGTGAGTAGATGGCTTACTGGGTTCTGTGAGCCTACCAGTGAATTATCCACCCTCAGGGTGGCTGTGGTCCTGGGACTTTCAAGTGGCACCAAGAGTCCTGGGCAGTCTTAGGTGTCGGCAGGATTTTAGCTTCATGGTTTTGCCAACTCTGATTAATATTCTGTATCATATATCATCCAAAATGATATATTTTATTATCATCACACTGACAAAATAATTCTAAACTGGCAGTTATTTCCATGTTGGAAAGTTGGACTTGAAAAAGCAATAAAATCTAATTAAATATTTAATTCTATTTTTCATATCAAGCCAAGGAGTCTCCTACTTAACATGTGAATTCAAAGAATTCAGGGAACAACTACAAATAAAAAGGGATTTCAGTCCTAACAATTCAAAGCAATTTATACATAAAAACATATGAATTTTTAAAATGGTGAGTAGTTTTTAAAGTGTTTTAATAAAAAATATCAGATATCCCACTGCTATTGTTAGTTTTATAAAATGATTTTTAAATGCTGTTTTAAGTTATTAAATCTGTAGTTGATTAAAATTACGATTTAAAAACACAGTAAATGTTTTTCTTTTATAGTTGTTTACATAATGATAAAGAATGGAAACGTACCGGTGAAAAATATCATTTAAAAAGTCTATCTATATGCTTTCTTTTTTAACTTCTACAGTAGAAATTCAAACACAGCTGGATACCTTTCCCTTTTTTGCCCCTGGGATATAAGTATTTAGCATTTCAAAGGTCCACAGAGTTGGTAATTTCATTATTTTTTCATTCAGAGGTACTGTATTTATAATGTTAGAATATTAGGTTTACAGCAAACTTTTCTATTTCATATGACTTCTTCAAAAACAAAGTATTTGATATATTTAACTTAAAGTTTTAGAAATTTCAAAGTCATAGTAAAAATTAGATAGTCAAATAGAAGCTTTGAAGAAGTGACTTCTGCTCAGACAAGGATATTCACTGAATCCAGACCCTCCTTGATGCCATTCCCATCACCTGATTTGAACATTTCCAAGAAATCCTGATCCTCAAGCACCATCATAGGACACTACTTCATTTCCCCCCAAGACTATTCCTCTAGGATGTCTTTGCTATCACTGCTTCTTCTCTTTGGGATGGTCTCTGTCTCTGAGTAGCAAAATAGTACGTGCCATGCAAATCTAACTATAAAAATGAAGTCAGTTTTCTGAGATACAAAATCAGTGTGATTATTGTGAAGTTAAACAATAAAAAAGTATCTAGGATAAGATACACATTCAATCCCCCTCTAATCCAAAATCTGATGGAACCACTGTAAAGCCAAACACTGCTCTAACCATGAAGATAATACCGTCAATCACTTCCCCAACAATCACCATCTTTTGTACCTTCAATCATCAAAACACTCCTCATGCCTGATTTTGCATAATAAATATTCGTGTGTATTGTTTTGCTATCCTTATAATCTCCTTGAAGGCAAGGCCTTTCCATTTTTTTAAACTGACTGACATATGATATATTCCTGAAATACTAAGTGGAATGAGTTTAATATAACAGATTCCCAATAAAAATTGGTTGAACAAATTAATGAATTCTGGAATGCATTCCTTTAATATTTCATGCAACATTATACATGTGAAAATGAAACTGCTTGAGAAAAGTGATTAACCCACCGTCACATCTTGGAAAAGGGTAGTTCCAGTTTCTGTTGATCCCATGCTGACAGGTGAGAACTGGGTGGCCAATTAAAATGTACCCAGGATAGCACTCAAAAGATATTGACTGTCCCACACTGTAGTCAGAGTTGACCATATACCCATTCTGGAAAGGTGGTGGGTCAGGGCAGTTCTGTAATTCATAGGCTGAAACAGAGAGAAACAAGCTCATAAATAAGAAGTGTAATTAGTCTGGAATTTAGAGGAATAGGATGACATACAGCTTCTTAGCATGAACTTTTTAGATATAAATTTTATGAAATCTTTACTAAGATACCCATTATCATCCAGTCGCATCAGTTCATGGTAAATAGAAGAGAAAAAGTGGAAGCAGTGGCAGATTTTATAGTCTTAGGCTCCCAAATCACTGCTGATGGTGAATTCAGCCAAGAAATTAAAAGATGCTTGCTCCTGAGAAGGAAGCTAAGACAAACCCCCAAAACAGCATATTAAAAAGCAAAGACATCACTTTGCCAACAAAGGTCCATCTAGTCAAAACTATGGTTTTTCCAGTAGTCATGTACAGATGTGAAAGTTGGACCATAAAGAAGGCTGAGCACCAAAGAACTGATATTTTCAAACTGTAGTACTGGAGAAGACACTTGAGAGCCCCTTGGACTGCAAGGAGATCAAGGCAGTCGATCCTAAAGGAAAACAACCCTGAATATTCATTGGGAGGACTGATACTGAAGCTGCTATACTTTGACCACCTGATGTGAAGAGTCGATTCACTGGAAAAGACCCTGATGCTGGGACAGGTTGAGGGCAGGAGGAGAAGAGGATGATAAAGGATGAGATAGTTGGATGGCATCATCAACTCAGTGGACATGAGTTTGAGCCAACTCTGGGAGATAGTAAAGGACAGGGAAATCTGGTACGCTGCAGCCCAAAGAGTCACAAGGAGTTAGACATGACTTAGCAACTGAACAACAGCAACAATATAAACAGTACTTATTTTTAGTAGTATAATCGTAAGAATTTGTATCTAATGAAGACATATTGTGTGCTTTAGAAGTTATATGGCACATACTAAAAATAAATTTGACAAGGCATACCTTGGGAAGAAAATATATGAGGGGAATTTAATCAAAACAAGAAGTGCAGATAAACAAAAAAATAAATTCATTCCATTTTCTTAATCTTTTTTCCTTAAAAACTAGTGTAGTATCATGCCTAGCCATTACTACCAGTACACTCTTTTGTTTATTCAAACTTCCCCTTTTTTAGCTACACCATGTGGCTTGCGGGTCTCAGTTCCCTGACCAGGGATTGAACCCCTGGGCTCTAGCACTGGAAGCACAGAGCCCTAACCTCTGGACCGCCAGTACAGCCTTTTTATAATGTATAGTTTGCTGTGTTTGTTTATTGTGCTCTATCACTAAGTCTTCTGTGCTCTGTCAAACGCATGGTTTCCCTCCTCGAGATACCGCTGTTTGAGTCTAACACTACCTCATAGACAAGGGCTCAGAAAAAGAACAGAGAACCCCACGCTGTGTTCTAACTGTCAACCAGTTTCCTTCTTTATTATACTCTTTTCCACTGGAGTCAGAAGCTTGTTCTCACTCTTGTTTTACTCCAAACACAGTGAGCTCTGCTGGTGAAATGAGTCCTCTAATAAACACATCAAATACGGCTGCTAATAATTAAACCTAAAAAGTAAAAACTATCAAAAATGGATTTCCAGTTTTCATGGGACAAAAATCAAATAAAACCTTGTTCAACTTCACTCCACCCTCCCTGGGAGACTCTGTTTATGCTCTAGTGGGGCTCTGGTGGTATCAATACAAAAATCAGTTATCATGGTACATTATAAAGGAGGTAACAAGTAACAGAGATTCCAAATGAACCATCATGTGAAACAGCATTTAACACAGATTCACACACTTTCCACGTGTTCATCACACATACCGATAACAAGTCCCATAATGCAGTTCCCTACACATTATGTGGTTTCTGGCATAATTTAAGAAAGACATTCAAGTTTTGTTTAGGGATGTATGAAATTAGCCCGTTTCTACTCATCATCTAACATCTGTGAAAGGGATTGAAAATGGAAGTTTAAGTTGCCTTTAGCAGCCCCATGATAATAAGTCCAAAAACTTTGGGTTACCCTTGATTAGCAGAAAGATATTTTTTTCTTTCTTTTTTTAACGGTACCAACACAGCTTTCCTGTATGGGGATTAAAGGGCATTAAAAGAGAGAGAGAGAGACTACCAGCCCATGTAGGCAGGACTATAGTTTTTATTACCTACTCATTTACTGAGTAAAATAAAAATCATGTATTGAGTGTCTTCTTGTTTAGTAGCCAAGTTGAGTCTGACTCTTCTGCAACCCCATGGACTGCAGCTCACCAGACTCCTCTGTTCAAGGAATTTTCCAGGTAAGAATACTGGAGTGGGTTGCCATTTCCTTCTTCCTGACCCAGGGATCGATGCTGTGTCTCCTGCGTCCGCTGCATTGGCAGCCAGACTCTCTGCCATTGAGTCACCAGGGGAGCCCTGTATTGAGTGTCTGCTATGTTACAGACAGAAACTAGACAGAAATGGACCCTGCTTTCACAAAGCTTGCATTCTATTTAGGGAAACAGACACAAATAAATCAACATGTTGGTAATTACATAAAATAACTAAGTTATGTAAGCTGTTATTAAAGGACAAGGACTAAAATAAAGGTTGGGGGTGGCAGGATGGAGGTCTAAGTGAGAGTGATCAAAACCTGCTTCCTTGAACAAGTAGCCCTGAAACTGAGATCTGAGTGGGGAGAAGATACAGCCAGGTAATAACTGAGAAAGGAAGACCTTTCAGCAGAGTGAGCAGTGGGGGCCCAAGGACAGAGGAAGTCGGGTCTCCAAGACAAGGTGGGGGTTCAAGGAGAGGAGCCTGGGGGTCATCATCCTAGTGTGCCCATCCTGTTTACAGTCTACAGCTCTCACGAGGGAGAACCTCACAAAGAATTGGGCCAGGCCACAGAAGAGGAAGTAGGAATTAGGACACTTCTCAAGGGGACACAGATATGGTTTTAAAAACCAGGACCCATTCTTCATCTCACAAATCATATCTTCAAATCATATCTTCCAGGTGAAAACAAAAAAAAAAAAACAAAAACAAACCCACAGCTCATTTCAGTGTTTTCTTAAGATTTTGTATCTCAGTTAATTCTGTTTTCAGTTGTGAGTATTTTACTACCTATACATATTAGCAACACTATTTTTTTTTCATTTATTTTTATTAGTTGGAGGCTAATTACTTCACAACATTTCAGTGGGTTTTGTCATACATTGACATGAATCAGCCATGGAGTTACATGTATTCCCCATCCCGATGCCCCCTCCCACCTCCCTCTCCACCCAATTCCTCTGGGTGGAATTCCCAGTGCACCAGGCCCAAGCACTTGTCTCATGCATCCCACCTGGGCTGGTGATCTGTTTCACTATAGATAATATACATAGCAACACTATTTTTAAGTCTTTTTCTAAATCTCTTATTTAATGGAGTCCTTCACTATTCAAATATCACTAACAGTATTTCCAAATTCTTAATTGATAGGTCACAAGTCACACACACTTTCTCTCTCTCTCTTTTTTTTTTTTACTGTCCCAAAGTTTGACTCATGGCCATAAATATCGATCTATAGGACTGTTTTTAAGTAAACACAAAGAAATAATAAAAAACTATTTGTTAGTAGGATAAAAATTTATTTTGGAAGGATTCCCATTGCATGCTGTTTAGTAAAGGTTCAGGAGACTGTGTGTTACCTGCATTGCCCACATCCATGTACCTTCGAACACATGTGATACCTCCATGTGCCTGGACCTCTGGGCCTGGGGGTGAAGACCAGCTCAACCAGGGATCAGAATCCTTATCCAAGCATGGCTTTGTTGATCTGCACTCATCACTCATGGTGAAATCATAAACTGCCATAACTCATTTTTATAACATAAAATGTTTTAACTTGAGAAAAAAAAACATCAACTAAGAGAGAAAAAGAAAGACCACTTCATTGGAATTTTATAAGGAAGTGACTTCTAGCATAAAGAGAAGTAAAAATCACCATTTTCAGACAAGTTCTGAAGGCCTTATCTCAAGGGCCTTGTCTCAACTGAAGGCCATTGAGTCCTTCATACATTTCATATATTTTTCAGACACTTCCATATTTGACAACTCCCAAAGACTTTTTGAGGTGTTATCCAGTATTTCTAAAATATTTTTTGTATGATATATCATTGAAAAGTTGAAATAGAGAATCATCAACCAACAGAGAAATACGTTTCTGAAGTAAAGACAAGAGTCTTGAGGTAGTTCTGCAAAATAGCAGAGGCCTTGGAATGTGTTGCAAGGGAGCCCTGGGACTGAGTTGGACCTGTGTCTCCCATCTGATGGACCATCACCACTTCAGTTCTGGGAGGCTCCTTCCTTCATTTGTGAAAGGAGAACAATCATGTCTATCTGATCTACAAGAATTAACAATGATGACAAATGCAGTGAACATGGTTGGTATGCATTAACTGAGTAAGGCTAAGTCTTAACCATAAGAAATGTCTGGTTTCTATGATAAAATATGTTTCATTGCTCAAGACATAGCACTCAAGCCTCTTCTCTGATAGAGGTTGACTCGGGGGAGAAGCCAGTTCTAATACCAGGAATTAGTGTGAAATACTAAGAAAGAGCCTTGTTGCAGGAAGGACAGGCTGCAGTGAGCATCAAGGTCCACACTGAATATGGCCTCGAAACCCATTTCACGTCCTCAGCTTCCTATCAATGAAAAGATTGCTCTGGTCCAGAAGTGCCTAGACTCATGCTGCCATCCATGGAATTTCTCAAGTGCACACGCACATAAGATCACCAGCTTCCAAATGGGGCTGTTTTGGTGACTAGGATGACACATCACTGCCCTCTGTAACAAGGGCACACTCCTAGCTCTCATTTTTAAGACAGATTAGCCACCTAAATGTTCTTTATGGCTCATGTGAATTCCTTGATCGCCAAACCTACTGGTGATGTGCACCTGCCTCACTGTGAAGGTTGCAGCCCAGCCCGTGCCTTCCGGGCTGCCCAAAGTCTCCCCTGCAGGACCAGTCACCAAACTGCTTGCTCACAGTGGCAGCTCCAATTGTGTCTTGTACTCCCACCAACCCAGCACTGAGGGC